AGGATTTGTTCCTTTTCCATCACTAACCTAAGCCATCAAACTAGATGGTTTATCCTTTGAAAACATGCTCAGAGAAAATATTATGGGTGTCTTTAATGAATTCGGTTTAACGTCTTGCTTATCGGTTCATGTCTGGTGTAAAATTCCTCATGTGTTTTTCGTTGAAAAGTTATAACCTAAATGGTGCTTGGCTGAATGAAACAGAAAAGAATGGACCGTGAACTATCCCTTCTTTCACGGGGTGAGAAGATGTGAATTAGAATCCAGGGAATTACACATGTTTTCTAAATTCTTAACTTGGAAGTGTTCTTTTCTTCTTCTTAGTGGAATCTGCTCTGTTTAGCAGTTGGTTTTTGCGCATGGAATGCAGAGGGAAGGCCTCGTACACCGATTTCCAGAGCTAATGTTTAATCTTCAGCAAAACACGCAGACATTCACATTTGTCTTTTAAGTACGCTATAAGTGATTGTGGAGGCCAGCTGCTGATCCTCCTTCCACATCAGTCCCTCATTGTGAGGTGAGTGGGGAGAATGTTTGTCACACAGGGTCTTTGACATACATTGTAAAATTTAGGTAAAACGCATTAGTAAGATTCTTAGCATGCAGTTGGGAAGCTGTAGTTCCAGGTGCTTGATATATATATTTTTATCTTCCTAATTGGTTTTCGTTTTGAATTTGAAACAAGTTTTGAAAGTATCCAGTGTATTCCTGTTAGTCTTTACCCATTTTAAACCATTTCAGGAAGCTGGCAAATAGTAAATTATGTTAAACAAAATTAAAGAGGGATCTTAGTATTTTTTTTAAAGATTTTATTTATTTGAGAGAGAGAGAGTGAGAGAGCACACAAGCAGAGGGAAGGGGCAGAGGCAGAGGGAGAAGCAGGCTTCCCATTGAGCAGGGAGCCTGATGTGGGGCTCGATCCCAGGATCCTGAGATCATGACCTGAGCCGAAGGCAGATGCTTAACCAACTGAGCCACCCAGGCGCCCCAAGAGTGATCTTATTTTAAAGTATTAATCAGGCGTGCTTTGCAGGGGCTTCAGAACATCGATCCCAGCAGCAAATAGCATTCCTCATGGTGTTCCTTCAGAAGCTCCATTTTCATAATGGATTTATATTAATTTGATTTGCAGGTATCAGAGTGAGGTCGCTTCATGCATGCTTTTGTCAAGGTGCCCTCTTTTCGATGTGACCAGACCAGGGTTCAGAGGCATTTGTTGGCTGAGTGGCCAGGTGTGGGCCTCTGGCCTCAGCACCCTGTTTGCCCCCTTGGCCAGGGTCTGCTGTAGGGACTTTCCAGGGACTCGGTGAGAGAGGGTGCACGGCTGCCAGGAGCAGGCCTTGCAGCTGGGTTCAGATGTTCCCCTGCTTGTGCAGTTTAGTGGTGACTCTGGGACTTGTGGCCCAGAGAGACCTGTCTGTGTTCCCTACTCCCCCCCCCCGCCACCGTGTGAACATTGACGGATTTGAGCCCTTCCAGCTGAAATCATCATGAACTGGAACTTTATAGCTGTAATTAGACCTGGAACAAATCAGATTTCATAAATCATGTATTAGTCAGGGCTCTCCGGAGAGACAGAACCAACAGGATATACATATATAAAGAGGTTTATTATGAAGAATTGACTCATGGGATTATGGAGGCTGGCAAGTCCCAAGGTCTGCAGTCAGCAAGCTGGAGGCCCAGGGGACCCAGTGGTGTAGCTCCAGGCCAAAGACCAGCAGCTTGCAAGCTGGGAAGGACCAGTGTTTCAGTTTGAGTCCAAAGGCAGGAAAAAGTTGATGTCAGCTCCAAGGCAGTCAGGCTGGACTTTGCTCTGTTCAGGCCTTCTCCAGATTGGATGAGGCCCACCCACATTAAGGAGGGCAGTCTGCTTTACTCGGTGTACTGATTTAAATGTTGATCTCTTCCAAAGATACCCTCACAGAACCACCCCGAGTAATGTTTGGCCAACTCTCTGGGCACCCCACGGCTCAGTCGGGTTGACAGCCATCACACATGCTAACACAGGCTGACCTTACAGGTGGTTGCTCCGTGCCTGGCAGGCTTCCAGGCACCGTGGGGGATACTCATTTCGTCCTCAGCACAACCCTGCTGGGGTCGGGGGTGGGGCGGGTATTGTTATCACCCACACCTTTAAGGAGGCGTGGAGTGGAGTGGCTTGTCATCTCATGTAAAATGGGGGTCCTTGGGGTTTAGACCCAGCAGTGGCATTTGCTGAGCCTATTTCAATGAACTTCCTCCATTGTGAAATTTTTTTTTTAGAGACAGAGAGGGCTAGAGCAAGTGAGCAGGGGGAGGGGCAGAGGGAGAGGGACAGAGAATCTTTTTTTTTTTTTTTTTAAAGATTTTCTTTATTTGAGAGAGAGCAAGAGAGAGAGAGCGTGTGCACACAAAGGGAGAAGGAGAAGCCAACTCCCCGCTGAGCAGGGAGCCCGATGCAGGACTCCATCCCAGGACCCTGGGACCGTGACCTGAGCCGAAGGCAGATGCTTAACTGACCGAGCCACCCCGGCACCCTGAAATTTGTTTTTAATGATTTCATTTAACTAGGGTTTTAAAGTATAAAAATTATACATTCAAGTGGTAAAGCTTGGATTGTACCAAAGCACAACAGTGTAGAATAACACTCTATCATCTATGTAATGTTTAACGGTGTTTTTTTTTTTAAATTATTCCAAGAAGTTTTTTTCTAGATTCTTTTTCAGAAGAACACAAATGGGACCATACCCTATACGCTGATGTGTATTTTTAAAAAGTTGACACTACCGGGGGCGCCTGGGTGGCTCAGTTGGTTACGCCGCTGCCTTCGGCTCAGGTCATGATCCTGGAGTCCTGGGATCGAGTCCCGCATCGGGCTCCCTGCTCGGCGGGGAGTCTGCTTCTCCCTCTGACCCTCCTCCCTCTCATGCTCTCTGTCTCTCATTCTCTCTCTCTCAAAAAAAAAAAAAAAAAAAAGTTGACACTACCACTTATGATTGTTTCATTACAGTACATATAATATTGCCTTAATCTTTTAAAATAGCTACAGAGTCTCCTGTTGTCTCTCATCCTTATCATTTTTTTTAATCCAGCAATTCTCAGGTGTACCGTTCCTTTTTATAACATATTTTTAAATTCGTCCTTTATTATGGATAGATCACTCATCCTTCTAAAGACCATTTTTAAAGAACCAGCGTCATGCCCCACTGTAACATAGATGAGAAGCTAAAGCAAACTGCTGTAACCTGGATTTCAGCTGCGATGGCATGCACGTGGCCTCGTCAGGGTGCGTGACAATCAGTCAGGTCCTGCCTCTGCGGGTGGAATCACCCGGAAGGTGGCAGCTGCAAAGGCAACTGACTGTGTGCTGGGCACTTAAGGTCCAAGCAAGAGCCGCTGTTTGGGGCAGACCCCTCTTGGTGGAGCCTTTGCGTTATTTCCAGGGTTTGCGTTTTAACAGTACGCCTAGGAACATTCTTGCATGTGTATTTTTTTTTTTTTTTAACATTTTATTTATTTATTTGAGAGAGAGAGTGAGAGAGAGAAAGAGCACAAGAGGGGGGAGCGGGAGAGGGAGAAGCAGACTCCCTGCTGAGCAGGGAGCCCGATGCGGGACTCGATCCTGGGACTCTGGGATCATGACCTGAGCCGAAGGCAGTCGCTTAACCAACTGAGCCACCCAGGCGCCCCACATGTGTATCTTTTGGGTCACTTATCCTATGTGTCTGTAAGGTAACAGGGAATGTGCATTTAGGATTTGGTCTACATCACAGCACTGCCTGCACCCATTAGTGCCTAGTGCGAGTGTGAGGGAGTGGCCGTTTCTTGCCAACTCTGGGCATCATTAACTCTTTTCATCTCAGTTAATCAGGTAGTCATGAAAAAAGGTACTTCATTTTATTTTGTATCTTTTTCATTATGAATAGTCTGCACCCCTTTTCTGTTGCATTTTATTTTCTGCAAACAGCCTGTTTTGTGTGTGTGTGTGTTTTGTCTTTGCTCATGTTTCTAATGGGTTGTTGACCTTTAAGAGGTATAATTGAGTTTCTGTTGTGTGTACAGAGGATAGGGCGGTGTGCCAGGTTGAGATTCTTTTATGTTTCAGAAGAGGAAAAATGTCTTAAAAATAGTCACATGAATTACTATTTAACTACTATTACTATTTATTTGATACTCATAGGAGAAGCAGAGGGTGATAAAAGATTGTATAAAGGGGATTTCTGAAGTGGCATTTCCAAGAAGGTTTCTATGGGAAAGCAGTATTTAAGCAGAAGTCTGAAGGGTACGTAGGAGTTTGCAGGGTGGGGTTGAGAGAAGAGCATTCTAAGCAGCAAAGACAGTGTGAGCAAAGGCCCTGTGGTGGGAAGATTATTGATAGTAATAGCTAACATTGATAGAGCACTTACTATGTACTAGGTGTTGTCCTAAATGCCTTTTATATCTACCTGCATTTAATTCTCCTGTATCACTTACGCAGCATACTTCCCCAAACCTTGGCCGTTTAGAACAGCAAACATTTATAGTCTCACATATTTCTGTGGGTTGAGAAGTTAGGAGTAGCTTAGCTGGGTGGTTTTAATTCAGGGTCCCTCGTGATGTCGACGAAGGCTGCAGGGGATATCGACGTTCCCAGATATTTGAGCAACTATGTGATGGAAGACGCTTGTGAGAATTTCTGGAGTGGGGACTTTAGTTTTGATGGATGTTGCCAGAGAGGTTGTATTTTCTATTGTTCAGATAAAGTGGGGGTGTCTGGGCCCACACCCCCTGCACCCCCCTACACCCCGGGTATTAGCAAACACCTCGCGCTTTGCCAACTGAGGTGTGAAAACAAGAGCACAGATGGTCTCGATTTATATTCCTCTCAGTACAGAGAGGGAGTTTTTATTTTTATTTTCCGTATCTGAGGAGAAATGCTTCTTAACAGTTTCTGTTTTTAGCCCATGGAGTAGTTACTTCCATAATTCCGTATGAGAGAATAGTAATTTACGCTTTCCTTTCTCTCTTTGCCAACGGAGGAGAAGGTCTCCTTGTACCTGCCTCACTGGCTTGCCGTGAGGATTCACCGAGTTACTACACGCCGAGTGCTGAGCATGCTGTGGGCACATAGTAAGCGTTCAGTGAGTCAGTTTCTGTGTTGTTACAGTTGCCTGCCGTCTGTTTATCATCTGTGCTTTGTCTGTCTGTCTCGCTATCATTGTCTGTTCATCTGTGTGTATTCGGCCTGGAGGAAAGCCCTGGGCTGCGTGAGGCTGGGGTGGTAGGTGGAGGGTCAGGGGGAAGGACAGCGGTTGCAGAGTTGTTTCACCTGTTGCCCTTCTGCTCTCCCTTGGTTTGCTGCCCCTTCCCCCTCTTCTGTTTGTCTCTCTGTCTCTGAGCCTATCCCAGGGCCCCTCCGCCCTTTACTGGGCCCCAGACTCACTCTGTCCTTTCTGACATCAGCGCGCTCCCATCTGTCTCCCAGAAATGTGCTCATCTTTTACCCACTCATGGCTCTTCTCTCACTTCTTACTTCCTTCGCCCGGCGGGGTTTGTTCTTCCTTTTTTGTTATTTTACTGCTCTCCTTGTTCAGGGGCCGGCTCTGCGGGGAGTGGCAAGCTGGGCTGGATTTGGCTCCCATCACTGGAAGGCCTTGCCAGGCGGCCTCATGGCGGGGCAGGTCTCCGACGCTTCTGGAGTGTTGGGGAGGCAGAATTTGTTTCTCTCCCTGTCTGATGGGAATGATGGACTTACTGGAGGGAGCAAGTGACATATTTCTGTGAAATACTTAGAAAACTCTGATGCTCTATAAGGAGCCTAGTAGCACCTTCTACAGTGATGGAAATGTTCTCCATTAAATGTCTTCATAGACTTTTAGCATATGATCTCTGTTTTTTTTGTTTTTTTTTTTAAGCTTTAGTTGATTATAGAAGTGACTGGCATCTCTGCATCATTTGTAAAAAATTATTTCAAAGATACTTCCCATTATATTATAAAATTTCTTGATGAACTCAGGGCACCTGGGTGGCTCAGTTGGTTAAGCATCTGTCTTCGGCTCAGGTCATGATCCCAGGGTCCTGGGATGGAGCCCCACATCGGGCTCCCTGCTCAGCGGGGAGTCTGCTTCTCCCTCCCCCTCTGCCCCTCCCCCTGCTCGTGCACGCGTTCTCTCGCTCTCAAATAAATAAATACAAAAAATCTTTAAAAAATTTTCTTGATGAACTCTTGGGGTTCTTGCTGAACTGTTTTCTTTCCTGCTTATGTGTGCTTTTTATTAGACAATGAGGGGTTTTTTTTGGTGTGTGTGCCGGGGAAAGTCTCTTTTTGCTTTGGTTTCTAGGAAGCTCAGTTGCCTTAGGTTTTCACTGAGTAGCTATTCTGGTAAAACTGTCCTTGCCTACTCTTCCCTCCTTCCATTTAATAAGATATATAGGGTGCTCTCCTTTTATGCTTATTCTAACATAGTTCTGTTGAAACCTTAGTGGACATACATGGGGTTTGAGAGGAAATAAGGGTTGACCCACTATACTTTCTCAAGGTGCCATGAACTTGCTCCTGTGGGAAGTTCACCCACCCCCATATTTCAGCCCAAACAGACTCTGTCAGTATTCCCAAGGGAGAAGCAGTGTGGCTTCCGGGGTTCTCAGCCTAAAGCATATTGGCTTTGGGGCAGAGACATCCGGGTGTGTTTTACAGCTACAGCATTTACAGTGGGACCTGGGGCAAGTCAGCTAGTCTCCGAACCTGTTTCTGCATCTCTAAAATGGGATGACAATAAGAACCTCAGGGTCGTTGGTACTCAGTGTGGTGATTCCTATTAGGTACTTGGTACAGCGGTGCAGGGAAGGTGTTCAGTAAGGACTGGTGACTCTTTTTACTTATAGGCTCTACTTAATTCCCATTTTGGTGAAGGCTGCCTCCACCCAGCCCAGTTTACCAGGAAATCTGCTATAGTCCTTGCCTATCGTCCTCAACTGCCGGCACGGCTTGATTTTGAATTCCAGAAGTGAGAAGCCAGGTTTTGGATCACCCGCTGGGGTGTGTCCTGTGCCTTATACAAACAGGGATCACTGTGTGTTTGTGATTCGAGTCTTTAAATTTTGCAGGTGTCTGTCCTGGGAAACAGACTGAACACATGCATGTGGACACGTGGTCAGTCCGAGGCTCTGGGAAGGCCTGGAGGGCCCTGGCTTTTTAAACTGCAGTCATACCAGGACCTGCCTCAGAGCCAGGGGCCAGTGAGCATCCCGTTGCCGGAGGGCTAGCTCAGAGGACTTCTATTTTCAGTTTTCCCTTCCTCGTTTCTTTTTACTTCTCCCCCTCTTTCCTCTCTTGTCTTTGTCTCCCCTCCTCTGCCCTCCCTTCCTACTCCCTTTCCCCTTCTCCTTCCCCTGCTCTCCCCCCCCCATAAGAGAAGCTATTTATTTTTTCTTTTTAAAAAACATTTAATTTTAGAGAGAGAGTGCGAGCGCATACTAGCATGTGGGGGTAGGGGCAGAGAGAGAATCTCAAGCAGACTCCCTACTGAGTGTGGAGCCCGACGCATGGCTTGACCTCGCGATCCTGAAATCAGGACCTGAGCCGAAATCAAGAGTCAGATGCTTAATGGACAGAGCCACCCAAGTTTTCTGAAACCTGAAGTTCAGATGCCCCCTCCCAGCCACGACCTCTTTTTTCTTTTTCTAAAAATTTTACAACAGGGGTGGATCTAGCTGGGCAGACTCTAGAAGCTGTGCCACATTCAGCCAGAACTACTTAGGTAAAGACAGCAGGTTAGAGGCCCTGCTGGGTTAATGTTCTTTAGTGCTTTTCTGGCACACGGAGGAGGTGAAGGTGGCCTGTTGTAAACTAGTTCCTTTCTTGTGTCTGGGTAATAGGAGCCCTCTTCTGTTCTCGGACACATCTGGGATAATGAAGGGGCTACATAATGCTGATTTGGGATATGCTGGGGTTTGGCCAGAAGAGGAAGATTAGTAAAGGTGTTTCCCAGCCATGCCGCTGAGCATGCAGGTGAGCGAACAGACTAGAGAAGGGACTGGTCCTTAACACTGCGCATGCAGTCAGTGTGCGGTAGGTCTAGGGAATTCTCAGATGGAGCTAAACGGGAAGGGAGGGCTGAGCATTTGCATGTGAGCTCTGGACGTCTTCAGGAGGGGACCTGACCACTGGGGGAGAGAAGGAAGGAAGGAGAGCCTGCAGAGACTGGCCACTCACCTCTGGGCAACAGGAAGCTGCTGGAAGGTGGTTTTACCCTGAGTTACTGCCCTGCAGAGAGGCTGTTTCAGACCTTACCCAGCCCATCTCATCCCCCAGCCCTGCCACCCCAGCACTGTGTCAGAATAGGTGCTGGGGTGCTGGGCATGGTGGCCCCTCTGAGCATGGGAGTCCCCAGCCTTCTGGAGCTTTCCACCAGCCCCACGTGCTTTGTGATTTCCCCTAGTGCTTCCGGGAGCCCAGGGGCAGGGCAGGGTGAGGCAGACGCTTGTTGTCCTGCAGAATTGGGTGAAAGTACTGTGGAATGAGGAGGGTAGTTGAAGCAAAGGGCTGTGGGATTCAAGCTGGAGGGAAGGGCACCGTAGAGGCAAAGTGCAGGGATCACGGGGCGGTGGTCTGGATGTGGCATAATGGGAATAAGTGAGGGGGAGCTGTGAGGAGAGGGGGCTGGAGGGGTTGGTCCGTGGTCGGGAGGGGGCATCTGAATTTCAGGTTTCAGAGGTGGCCCAGGTGCGGCTGGCAGACGTAGAGCGTGCGGTCCAGGGAGGGACTAGGAAGTGGACAAGTGAGCGTGAGCAAGGGGTGGCTTGAGTCTCAAGTGAGCCAAGGTAAGGGCAGGTGGGAGAAAATGAACCATCTGTGGCTGGAGGAGCCAGAGAATGTGGACGCTAACTCCAGACCCCGTGTGAACCAGCTCAGAGCAAGACTCGAATCTTCTTCCAGGGGGTTTTCAGCCCTCCTGGATTTTGAGCTGTATGCTGAAACATGTATGTGGGCCAAACTGAACCTTCCTAGTGGGAGAGAACCTTCCTTCTTCTTAATGGTTGGAAAGACGATGATGATAAGGCTAAGCCTAGGGGCATGGTGACCCTGACATTCCTTCTCTTATAGGAATTCTGTTCTCACTTTCAAACCAACGTGCTAAGTTTCAGCTTGTCTGATAAATATAATTGTACTTCTTTTTCTGTATCAAGAAAAACCTTGACAACAGTCCATTCAGATGATCATAACTGCAGGTGTGAACTCCATTGCTTAGTGTTATTTCAGCTCGATTTCTCCCTACTTATGGGGGGGTTTGTGGTGAGTAGAAATGGGAAGAGACACATCTGATTTGAGAAAGGGTGTGGGAGTCCTCTGGTGCCCAGTCTCCTTTTGCCTGGGACCAGGAGTCTGGGAGTGGCCCGCCCAGGTGTGCACGCAGCACCACCTAGTGGGCCAGGGAAGCACCAGCAACGGGAGTGGCAGCCTTAACCCGGAGACCAGGTATGTGCGGTGCCCTGGGGTCCGCAACTTCTGAAAGGGATTGAAGGAAAGAGGAGGTTAATTGTTCAAAGAATCCGACAGGGAAGACAGACAGCTTAGTTGGGTAGAACAAAACAAATCTCCCTCCGTTCCTCCATGCCTTCCTCTGTCTTGTTCCTTCCACCTTTTAGTTGATCCCCATCTGCTGTTTCCTGGAGTTCATTCCAGAAATTGGTTTTTTTTTTGCAAGGGGGAGGGTATTATGAGAGCCAAGCGTGACCATGTCTTTCCTGCTTAGGCTGCTGGTTAGGAGGTCCTGATGGTGGTGTGATTTTAGTGCCGTGCAGGCAACTTTATTCTTCTAGCTGTCAGTCATCAGACATCATGTCATTTTAAACTGAGTGTATATATTAGTCAGGTTTTGCTGGGTAATAAATCACTCCCAAATCCACAGTGGCTGCTGCAACACTTATTCCTAGATCGTGGTCGTAGGTGACCTGAGGATTGCCTGGGCTTCAATTTGGGTCTGCTCCACTTAGTTCTCATTTGAGGATTTGAGCTCAGGGGGCTCTGGCTGTCTAGGGCTGGACCCTTCCGGCGGAACACACGGCCGAGCAGACAAACTCAACCAACACATTCTCACATTCCAGACTGGC